CTCTTCGTACATATTGAAACCAGTTCTCTCTGGAGTCTGGACTGTTTTTGTAAACAAAAAGAGAGTCATAGTTTATCAGTACCATTTTTTCTTAAAGCGATGTTTTTGTTAAACTACTTATCTTATCTCAGTGTCCGAGGAAGGGGGTATATTGAAGTATTTACTTCTGCTCAGAAATGTCTGTGAAAATATTTATTCGAAGGGTAAGTGATTTAAAAATAAATATATTTATTGTCATATATTTTATATTTTCACGCTCGTCATCTCAATCTTTAAGTTTTCTTTGCTATATTTCTTTTTTCTTCCGTTTATCTGTAAAATTTTCTTTTATTTTTGGGCTTGTTTCTTAAATTTCCTAATTTAAACAAACGGCTAATATTAAAACCACTAATTTCTTCACTTTTTTCAACTTCATAGTTAGAAGTTGTGATCCAATTTTGCAAGATAAATGTGTTTGGGGATGCATAGGTAGGAGAACGGTCAGACGGCTGGTCGGTGTTTCAAAAAATCTTAAATAGTTGAAAACTTTTTTTTGGTTTCAGAGTTGACCTTTTTTGTTTAAATACGTTTTTTTTCAGCGCTTCGAGTTTTGAACGATCTCAGCACATGGAAAAACACAATCAATGTGGATCTATGTGGAAAAAGCTTGATGATGAGAAGATGAAGTAAATTGGTCAGTAAACGGTTCTCGAGGCTCGTGGGAACACTGGTGGATCAACCTCTTGCAACTATGCTTATCAATACTCTTCTTCTATTCAAGATGTTCCACCAGCCTGTAGTCAGGGGGGGGGGCTAGATTGATTGTGCGAACAAGTTAAAGGTTTCCTAATTCGACATTATCAAGGCCGATATGGATAGAGGTTCAGGTTCGTCAGTGTCTAGCACCTTTGTTCGACTTCAACCCTGATTCCTTCCACCTCTGAGTCATACCCAGAATGGTTTACTCTAAGGTGGAAGGAATCAGGGTTGAAGTCGATATATGGCGGTTAAGTGAAGGTTAAAAATCGGGTTCAAATCTGTCCTGTAAACGTGCTGGCGTACCATAGCTACCTCTACAATCTACCTCTGCTGGAGCAAGGATTATGAGCAAGAAGCTGTAAGGTGCTTCAGTTTCGCTCTGTCGTCTTGATCTAAGCGATCCTGAGCAGTTTAACCTTAAGATTGATCTCGCTTCCAACTACCCTCTTCAATGTTTCCTGTAAAAGAATACTCCTGTTTGGACGAGGTGAAGTGGGAGTTCTGTTCTCTTAATGCAGGAAAAGTCGCCTTCAGAAAACAGAACTCCCACTTCAACTCCCTTCCCTTCTCGATGCTTCCTCTTCTGTAAAATCCTATCTAGATGAGAAGCTGGGGTTAGTTGGAAGTTCCTGTCTCTGGTATGGTTGTTAACTTTTTGACCTGGAGAACCCTACAGAGGGAAACCCAACTCACCAGTCCTCCAGGTAACTGGGGGTTTTGGGATTACTGTTCCAACGACATCGAGGATTCTTTAGAGGAGAACATCCTGGGAGAAATAATGAATGTCTACGAGTTTTTCTTCTCTATGATCAAAACCTCGCTTCAACATTTCCACCTTCAAGCAGAAATGTTGCCTGGCGGAGGGTCCCTGAACCATTCAGTTTAAAACATGCATTGAAGTGAAGTTGGGTTACCATTAACTTCAGTATTAGTTTGAGATCCAAATCTGAGTTCTAGTATAATTTATTAACTGAATCTCTTGCTAATCTAACACAAGTTTCAGTTCTGAAACTGTTGAATGTCGAAGACTCAATTCCGAAAAACGTTTGTTCTGAATTTAGACTTGTATGTTTAGATATGTGTATTTTTTACTGTGATATTGTAAAGTTTGGAAAGGTCAATTCACTGTAATAATGTTGATAAAGCCTTTTCTTAAAATTAAAATAATTTAGTGCTGTTAAATAATTTGGTTAAATAAAATGAATTAAGTGTTTTATTTTCTCAGTATCTGAAGACTCCATGGAAAGGCCTAAAACAAATGAATTTTTATTGATTCATTTTAAAGTATTGAACCCTTTCTTGCCCAAAAACAAGCATCTATATATAAATTTAGCCGGTCTGTTTGTATCCAATAAATGGCTGAACCGATCGGGCCCAAATTTTTGTGTGGGACATCACGTTAAAGGGAGTGTTCGCGAAAAATGAAAGGGGGTATAAGCTTAGTGCGATAAAAAAGCGCTTTTGATCGCTACTAATCTTACTTCTATCTGTTTCGTCTATAAGGAGAAAATTGTTAAAGACGTCTCATACCGAATAACATAGCGGCCATACAAATTGAATAAATTGCAACATACGACTTATACTGTAAAAAATCAATTTAATTTTAAACAAATCATTCAGATATTACAACCTATTTAGACAACAGAAAGTTTGAAGGTTTATTTCTGTTTTTGTGATTAATGAAGCTTTTAAAAAGATTTTCAACGGAAAACACGTATTGATCCAATTTTTAAAGAATTATTGGGTCTCACTGTTATAGAATTACAAAGAACTCAGAAGTTTACCCATCATTTTCCATAATGTACCATATGACTGAATCCATTGCTGTAAGCTCTGCAAGTTATAAACTGAAACTTTACATTTGTATATACACGTATATATATACTTTGTCTACATGTTTATACTTTGTTTGTTTGTATTCAATAAACGTAATTAGGACTGAACCGATCAAGCCCACAATTTTTTAGGCTACTCACATGACCCCAGAGAGTTCAAAGCTGAAATTGTTGATAGGAAAGAGGGGGCGAAGCGCCATAAAAGCCTTTTATTGTAAAAAGTTGGAAATACTGGTAAATAATATTTTCTCCGAGCAAGTATATTTATGGTTGTTTCCAGAAGGATTATCATAATTGTTTTAATTTTAAAAGCTTCTTTAAAAAGACAGAACCATTTAATTCTGAACTTGAAGTAATTAATCAAAAAAATTGTTCTTTCTGACATCTTTGAAATTTACGAGGTTCTGAACTTGTCACAAAGGGGACAGTAATGTATTTTCAGATCCCCCCCCCCCCCCCNTTGGGGGGAGGGGTTCATAATGAACGCCTCATGGTTTATATTAAACCCCGTGAAATTATTGCAAATATCTGTTCGTCTGAATACCTGATCGAGAAATCCATGAAACTAAACCTGAATATTCAAACCTCTGTAAACCCTTGAAGTCTTGGAATTTTCTGAATAAGAATTTAAATCTTTTTGTTTGATGATCTTCATTTTCTTTTATCTGAATTGTAAATCTGTAAATTTACTAAATCCCAAAAACTTTTCAACAATTCAGGAATCAACCTCCCCCCCCCTTTCTTCACAATCTCTGTTTGCGGAGAAGGTTCAAATAAACTCCGCAAAATTATTGTTTGGAAGAAAAATGGCGGGAAATTATAAACCTGTCAAATATATCTGGAACTCCTGGAACTCGAGATTGCAGATTTTAAAATAAAATGGCCTCTCCAACAGCGGCACAATCTTCAATAACATGCTACCATTTATTAAGAAATGTATACAATTTTTTATTGTAACAAAAGATAAAAATTTGACCAAGAAAAATAACTATAAATAAGGTCACAAAATACTCAATACATTCGAGGTTTTGTGATTAAATATGAAATATATACTTGATATTGAAAGATTTATTTTATCACAATACAAAACGAAATTTGTTGTAATGTTTACCTCGACGTGTTTGTTTATGTAAGATCACCTCTAATGTATAACTCCGACCTGAAAGTACAGTTGTATCCTGGTTGTATCTATGTTGGTTTTGAGTAGGTTGAGTATGACTATAGGAGTAGGGTCCGGATGAGTTTTGAGAGTAAATATCCTGAATATTGTCAAACCAACCAATCCAGCTCTCACTGATGGGGATAGATTAGGGGGATACATCAAGTTTAAATAACAGGGATGGAGGGGATGTTTATGGTATAAAGAGGGGAGAGGGAGGGGGGTCCATCCCCCCTCTCATCAAACCAATAATTAATTTAGCATCACTTTATTTAATTACTAACAGATTCTGTGTTAAACATATGTTGTCATAAGTCAAAACGTAAAAGAAGACCCTTAGAACAATACTAGAGCACTAAGAAGTAACCTAAGCTTACAATTAAAATAAAATGAAGAACCTTAGATGATGAATACTGCTAGAGTAGATCTAATTTAGATCCCAATTAAAATGACGATAAATGATAAATGATGATAAAAATGACTAGAGTAGATATAATTTTATTGAAGAATTGTTGAGGATAAGTAGAGACAACTTGAATAAAACCACGATGCAATTCATGCAATAGATTACTTTTCATCACTTGTTTTGTTAAACTTATATATCAAACGCAAAGCATTAACTAAACTAAATTTTAATAAGCCCAAGTTGGACAGTTTACAAGCTAAAATCAGGGAATAGGAATAAAGGGAAAGGAAATGGCGCTGGTCTGGAATGAGAAAGCCAGTCGCACTACTTTGCAGACGAGTTCGGTATTCCTTACACACACTCTTCTGGTAGAGACACACAACATGACTACAGTCAAGGAATTTGCAGAACAATGTCGTCAATTATAATTAAACTTAAATAACGAGTATTATTGTAAATTTGTAAACTTTAATCAAATTATATTCTTTGCATGAAAATTTGGCTTTATACTGTTGACTTAAATATATAAATAAAATATTACATGTATATCAAACTTATTTTTAATTAAACAATTAACAAAAGACAAATGTACTCTCCTAGATTGTACAAATACCGAGATTCGTATGTACTGTGTATACCTACAGTACACGCCTTCGGTTCAGTATTCCTTACAAACACTCTCTTGGTTCAGACAAACACACATGACGTTTCCGCCCCCTGGCTTAAATACAAAACATAAGTTGAGAGTGGACAAACTGTTTATCTCTGCAGTTTTCAGGAATAAAAACAGTCTAAAGCTAAAGAATTAGTAGAAAAACTAAGACAGATTATCCGAGTAAGAAATAAAGTCGTTTTCATGGATACACATTTATTTTTGTAAACGAGCAAACCAGTAAATTCAAGTTATGTTGTTCAAGGTTAAATGATGAAACATGAGAACAATTTCGCTATAGGATATGTAATACATGGACACTATATTGAATAGTACACTTCAATAAAAAGGTGGATCTGTTTCAACCGGCGCGGTCATGATGTATTTATACCCATCTGGATTCTGGAATCAATCGAAAATTTGAAAACTATTGACTTTCCAGATGTTTCATGGCAAAGCACTGGCTTATTTATAACTTAATTTTTACAAAAATTTTGTTTATTATTGTTTGCTCTAGTTTTTGGATTTTTGAATTTTGATAAGCCAGTTGTGAGCCATTATAAGCTGGGAGCTGCCGACCATAGCAGTGTCGATCAGGATGCACTGTTCGAGCCGATCCAAACTTGGGGACTGAGTCCTGTTGGCTATATACTTTTAGTTATATTATTCATTCAAGAGAATAATGGATTTGACCTGGCCTTGCTGAGATCAGACAGAAACACTATAGTTTCAGTAGAAGTAAATATTTCCATGTAATGTTATAGCGCCGATATAAGGATTTATCTTTAATTGGATAATGAGCTAGATAGAAAGATAGATGTTACCGCCATGCAATTTCTATTGGTTCAGAATAGACAACAAACACATGGCTGAACCCTGATTGGATCAGGCGCTAATGGACTAGGGATACTAGAGTGGAAAGGATAATTTCGCAGTAAATGTATTGAATTTGTGCGTACACAGTTAAAATAATTTACTATTGAGCGTTCACTCATAACTGAGGGAGAAGTTAAAGCAAAATTTTATTTGGGTACATTGTTTAAATTGAAAACTTACTTAAAACAACAGAAAAGGTTTAGAGATGGCTAGGATAACAATCATACAAAAAATTTTACAACTTTTTAAAATTTTGAAATTTCACAAAAAATCGTGAAAATTTTCGAAATCGTATAGAACAAAATGCTCGCTAATAAATTTACCCAAATAATTCTACTAAAGTTACCAAGCTAGATAGAGGAGCGCGAAGCGCCCTTTATTCCTAAACATTCTAAACAACTACAACCAATAAATCCTTGATCCTATCTGTACTCTCTGTGATTGATCTAAATGCTGAACTGCGGCGGGATTTTAATGATTATAAGTTGAATGAAACTCCCGAGTTTCCTTTTCGGGGTCAATACATTTGTGTAGATTTCAATATAAGAATTAGAAAATGCTATTACGAATCATATGGAAAATTAAAAATGATTAAAAATTGATATCTTTGAAATTGTTAAAACCCATTCATGAAACTAGGGTTCCAACACCGGGTTTAAGGAAGATATTCTGTCCTAAATTTCGGGCTCTGGTGGTAAACTATTTAACTATTCAACTACAAACATCAAACAAAACTTTAACTTTGAACAGGAGAAATTTTAGTCAATAAGGAGCATCAAAGAGAGCAGTTAGCGGGGGGGGGGGGGCTTACATGCATGCATGAGATGAATGTTGAATAAAGGATAAAGTTTACATCGAAAATAAAATTTTGTATTTAACACAGTTTTGAAACCCTGTCTGAAGGTTAGAATGATGGGGAAAGGCGACCCACACCCATTTGTTCTTTGTTCAAAGAATGATGTCCTGATTTTTTTTTCTCAAAATATTTTACATCTACTTAGTAGCCAACTTTGTTACTTATGTATGATACAATCTCAAAATATTTGACATTTACTTAGTAGCAACGCACACACCTCTACTCGATGACCCCATTTTTTTATTTTGGGGCAAGAAACATCTATAGCACCCATTTTACCTCCGACCCACAAATGACGTCACAAAATGGTATTTGCGGAAAAAAGTCTTTTGTATTCAAATTTGGTTGCAAAGATAAAGGGATTAGAAAAACAGAGTTTGTGGCAAAGACTCAATTCCATTGTAACATAAGAAAAGAAAAAAGGAAAAAAAG